GGAAAGTTAGCAAGCATTGGCAAAAAATTATAAAAACTTCGAGGTACGGTTTTGCAAGATTCAAAATTAAATGATAACCTTGGTGATGTAGCCGACATCTCGAACTCCGCCATCCGCAATCACAGGAATACCACGTGCCCGTGCATACTTCGCAACCCGATATACAGCTGTACCTTGCGCTCGTCCAACTGCCACGACTATAGTATTTTCATCCAGTTATTCCGTTGTGAATATTAGTTATATGTCGTAGGAGCAATTTGCGAAAATACGATGGGTTTTTTAACATTTTTCAGCCAAATTTTGTGCTTTACTGACTATGCTTTATGCTTTTAGAGTGAAATTCCGAGCCCTTTCAGCTGATTTACTTCCTTTTCTAGCCAAAGATGAAAAAACAAGACTACGAAAATGAATGATTTTATAGGAAATTACAGAGGAAAAAAGTTCATACTTTCTTGAGTAATGCATATTGAGCCACTACCCATTCCAACGCGAATTCCATCGGCCCCGGCATCTATCAGTATTTTTGCTTGTTTCTGTGTAACAACTGAAAATTTCGTAGTCTGCAGCAATATACAAGTAACCTGCACTCACTTATTACGAGTGGACACAAAGAATGACTAAAAATACCGCTCGCTCGTGGTGTAATCGAAATCCGCCTTCATTTAACACTGAAGACGACACGAAAAGGACATTTTTTTTTGACCGCAGCAATTAATGACAACTTACCGTTGCCTGCAATTATCTGTGGGGTTTCTGGATAGTGTTGCTTTATCCATTTTAGTAGGTTGACCTGATAAGTACTGGCACCTTGCGATGAATCCTGCAAAAATAAGTAATCCCTCATGAACAAAGTATCCAACGTACGACTCAATGCAACACGCAAAAGTTTCGGAAGAATGCAAAGATTCCAATGCTTTTCGCCTAAAAAAAAAAACGCAAGGTGTTTGACCAGAACAAAAATTTCAATAATTCCGCCAAAATATGCAACTACCAGAAGCAAAGGCAAAACAATTCCGAAAGCAAGTAACAAAGTGGGTGCTCCAACAAGTATAAAACAGATGACAGAGGAGCAGGATGGTTAACAACTTACAATTACAAGAACATCGACTCCAGCATCGGCTAACTTCTCCACCGCTTCTTTGGCATATTCTCGAGTGTTGATTGCTGCACCAACTCGAAGCTGGCCCTTCGAATCGTAGGAACTCAGTGGAAAATCTCGCGCTTTCTTCAGATCGGTTCTAGCAATCAGCGAAACCAACTCGTCACGGCTATTCACAATTGGTAATTTTCCTGCATTGCTCAGTTGAGATTAAATGAAACAAATGAGCATAAACAACCCATTGTCAAAGCATTAACAGGTCAGTGTGATCACGCGCCAGACGTCAAGAAATTGCCTTAATGTATCTTAAATGATAAGTAGCGGCCATTCGAAGGTCGAATCAGAAGTGGACGGTCAAAGTGGGGCGGCCGAAGTGGGTTATATTGATAAAAAATTTTTTGCGGCTGTCGATAGGCCGAATCATAATTTCTGGAGTAACGGCAAAGTCTGAATCGTGGAAAATACGGAACGATCAAAATCCTTAAATTTTAATGTGGGATGGAATTAGCGGAAATGTTAGATGCGATTTTCACCCTATTATACAGCATGAAAAAAGACAAGTTGTGACAGGTGCCATATCGGTGCCCTTAAGACAATAATCAAAATTTTTCGCCTCGCCTGTTTGAGGAGCACCACAGAGTTAAGTTGTTGTAAAACATCAACACCCAGATCCTACACAGCTTTTCCAGGATAGTAAAGCACTATTTGGAAGCAATAATTTTCATACAATTTGGAAGTGAAGAAAAAAAGAAGTAATGGCAAGTCTGATGTGGTGATGTGCAACTCCTGTTCTTCGGCGTGAATCTCAAACTCGA